AAGTCATAACTTAGATAGAAAAAAGAACTCCAAGCCCTACATATTGAACTAGCTGAGTCAATATAGCAAGAAAATCATTGATAAACACTAGCTGAGTCAATATAGCAAGAAAATCATTGATAAACACTGCCTGATTTTTATTTTCTATAGTTAAAGGATATTTGATAGCATTTGGTATGATATGGTATTTATGAATGCATATCATTTATTGTTAGGTAAGCTAAGACAATATGACAAGGTATGGTGCATAGTAATCTTGGGTGTTTAGGAATTGATTATTGGCATACTTGATCTAAGATAGTTAACTGTAAAGTTCCTACACACTAGAGATCAATAGAACTTAAGGGGCTTAACATTGATTTTCATGGTCAAAATGTTAGGTAGATGGCTCACCAAAACTTAGAGACATGGTCTTTCCAAATGAGGAAAACTAATACATCTTAACATGCAATATTATATTAATGAAAAAAACTTTTGATCTGACTATTGAATCTATTAAAATTTTACTAGAAGTTTTTAAAAGCTTTATTTTTCTTATAAGATTAAAATTTTATTGTAATCAAAGATCAAGAAGACCTTCAAATAAAGTTTAGAAATTATTGTTTTGCATTTATTTTAATTTTTTAGTTGAATTAGGATTTATTTTCTTATTTCAGCTAGAACTATTTTATTATTATTATTTTCATATTTGTTTAGGATTTGTTTCCTAGTATATAAGTAACATATAAGAGCTCTAATAGGAAGTTTTGAATAAAATATTATGTAGTGAAATATTTAGTAATTAGATTTTGAATTAGAATTTATGGTGTAACCAAGGTTATTAATTTCATTTTGTTATGGTTAGAATGACTAGTTTACCTTGTAGTACTTTAAAAATAGAACAAAGAGGAACAAATTTCATCTTACTTTTAATCTTTAGTCATTCTAAATTTCTCAAAAAAATTCTAGCAAATATATTTTGTTTTTATTATGCCTATTCTTTACTAGGTTTAAAACCTTCGAAACCATTCAAATCAAACCAAGTCAGCCCAATTTGAACTCCTAGATCAACCTAAAAACCCAAGTATAAAAGAGTCCCTTTCTTTTTTGTTTGAAACCCTAATCTTCAATTTCTTACCTCTTATAACCATTTCCCCTTTCTCACAAATTTTCCCACAGCCACAATTAACCTTATGGTTAATATATATATATATATTATTAATTTTGGGATCTTGTCATTTCTTTTATTTATCAAGAGTAATATCATCATTTTTATCTTCAATTTCAATTTCAACTATTATCTTCTCATTTGGTTTGTTTTTTTTTTCTTTTCTACCCTATTTCATTTTCTTTTTCTTGGGATGAATTTGATAAAAGATGTCATCATCTTAGAATTTCTTAAATTCTTATGTTGTACAAATTTTACGATTTCGCTTGAAAAACAACAAAATAAAATGTTGAGCTATAGTTAGTTGATTTTATTATCCAAACTAACAAATCCTTCTGGTCAAGTTGTCTAAGGTTAATTAATTATCAGCTAAAACTAAATTGCAAAATAGCTAGGAAAATTAATTTATTTTATGAGGAAAAAAGAAGTGAGTGAGAAAATTTGATTAGAAAATAATTGTATTTTATGAAATAATTTTTTTTCATATCGTGGACACATTCTTGAACGTGATCTATAGATAGGTGATCACTTCCAAGAGCAAAATAACAAGGGAGAGCCCACCAACTCAAGATCTCTAATGATCACACAATTAGACGTGGGTTGAGAAATGCAATTGGTAGAATTCAAACCAAGAATGTTCTTTCCCGTAGTTGACTCCTCACCACTTGACTATTGTTAATTGAGCTACTAGCTCACTTGCTTCTTTTTTTTTGGAACAAATTGATAAGTCATAATGACTAGGTAATAGTTAACTAATTGAAATTTGATTAAACTATATAAATAATCAAACCTATATAAACTAACTTAATTCTAAATATTTGATTGTTAAAACATTTTTTAGATATCTGTCATGTACTTCTCTATAATAATTTAAGTAACAACACTTGTATTGTTTTTCTAATTTCTAAAAAAATTACAAAAGAATGAGAAAAGTAAATTTTGGTTTGGGTGTAGACCCAGTAGTGGTGGATTGTGTTTAAAAATCGAGAATTGTAAATTTTTAGGTTTTGATTCAAATTTTGAGTGGATTGCAGGGGAATTATATTTACTGGTTTATGATTTTGGATTGTTTTAAAATGAAAAGTTTGTAAAACCATTTAACTAGGAGTTTTTTTTAATGTAGTCTAAGAATTAGTGTCATTATTATTTATTTCCTTTGAATTTTACCTTTACTATAACATTAACTGACTTTTTCATTAATTATCATAGTTTCTGATTCCACACAAAAGGAATATATGAAACTTTCTAGTTTAATAAAGTATTCTTTTTTTTTTTTATTCTTGGAAAATTTTGTTAATAACCTATTGCAAGTGTAGTTTCAAACACCTTAAACTTAAATTCTTCAATCCTTGTATGCATAGATTTTTGTTGCATTTTGTATTGATGCTTTTTTCTTCATGCCTTTTCTTTTTATTTCTCGATGATTCTTGAGTCATTCATATTCATATGGATATGTAAGAATTTGCTAACCATATAGTATAAATAAGTCTAAAAAATATACATTAGAGCATAAAGATATATATTACTCCTTTCATGATTATAACCATATATGAAGAAAATTCCATATTCAAGATATATAGAAAGAGAAGCATATCTAATATGTTTTTCTTTCATATTTGAACTTTATAGAAATTTAAGCAAAATAAGAGATACTTTATATCTCACTAACCTTGATAACATTAAACTATTGAATAATAAATTTGTGAATAAGTTGGGAGACAATTAAGGCACCTTTGTTTACTTTAATTTTAAAAGATGAAAAGATTTGCTTAATATGAAGGATGAGCTTAATGAAAATGATTATCTATTGGAACATCTAAACCATACTAGTTGCAAAGAAGCCATATTAGTTGCAAAGAAGAGCAAAAGAAATCTAAGCCATGGACAAAAGACTTCAAGGCAGGCCATACCAGGTTTTGTTTTCTCTTTTTGATTTAACATATTAACATATATTATTCTAAATTTTTAGTGTATTACCAAATTTAATAAGCCTAAAAAACTCTAAAAACCCAAGCATCACACCTAAGTCTAACCGCCTATGGGCTTGGGTATTGCATTGGAGCCCAGTGTTAGGTGTTATGCCTTAGCCTAGGCAATTAGACCTAGGTCACACAGTTGGGGCTATATGGTGCTAAGACAACATGCCTAGGCTTGTTTGGGTGCCTCTTGGGCTTAACCAGATGACCTCATCATTCTAACCCTCTAAGTTTGATTTTTCAAGATCGCATGCAAGCTCTTGAGATTTTTTCATTAACCCAAGTCATTTGTAGCTCAAATCTTACTCCTCCTATATCTTTAGGTGTACAAAAATCTCTTTATATCATACCATATGTCCATCTCATTAATGCACAAGTGTGATATGATGAGCTAGACAATTTTAGTAGGGGACATGTGTTTGACTAAGGAGCAGTGGGTAGGCTGAATGAAATAGGACTCACTACTTACAAGATTAATTTATAAAGTTGGAATAATTAACCTTCAACATCTCCACTCCAGCATAAAAACAAGATTAATGAGGTATAAATACCATTTAAATAACTCAGATAGAGGGTTTATAATTTCTTTATCCTCTATATATTATTTGCAGAGTCTCTTTCTACAAAATATTATTGCATTTTCTTAACAAAGATGTTTGTTTAAGTAAATCTAAGAGTCTTCAAATATATCAAATAGGACATGTTGTAGGTACTTGACTTCCCATATTAAGTACACTCATCTTAGCAAAGAAAAATGGATCAAATTTTAAGAACTAAGTAATTAACCTATTATTGAACCATAAAAGTTTTATTCCTAACTATTTTATAATTTAAAACATTATCACCAAATAATAGTTTTTTAAATCATTCATTACCAAAATTTTAACAAGTATCAACGTAATTATTGATGGACCTTTTTTTATCGATATTTTGTTGAGATATTTACCGATCAAATTTTTTTCCTCGTTAAAATAATTGATATACATCGATAAAATATTTCTGTTAGTATATACTCAGAGAATCCTAGACAAAATATAAAAAATTTAAAAAAACTAAACATGGCGATGACATGTAAATTTTTTGATATCCAAGGAACGATGTTAGTGGTTTACATTTAGGATTTCCATGAATGAATATAGGTATAAACCCTGAGAGAAATGGGTGAAGAATTAAAAAAAATAAAAATTGAATGAATATAGGTATAAACCCTGAGAGAAATGGGTGAAGAATTAAAAAAAATAAAAATTGAATGAATATAGGTATAAACCCTGAGAGAAATGGGTGAAGAATTAAAAAAAATAAAAATAGGAAAGGATCATCCACGTTATGGTACCATGCCATTGAACCTCTAATTGGAGAAAAACAAAAACAAATAAATTAACACTTGGGTATTTAGCGTCGTGAACATACGTTACTCATATTACTTTCTTAAAAAGCGAAGAACAGTTATAATTAAAAACGGAGGGACATAAAGAGAGATAAAGCAAGCTCGATTCTTCAACTTCAAGCAAAGGAAATTAAAAAAAAAAAACGACATGAATGTATCGAATTAAAAATTAAGAAGAATTCAAATGGAATTCTTTAACTGATTCATATCTATGGTCAAAATTAGATATGCACTTTATAATAGGCAATGCTAAATGAACGCCCAAGTATTCCTCGGGAAAGAGAAGGGTGGTGTTTGACGCAAGGAAAGCAAAGAAGAGCCTTTTCCATCTTACTTATAATGAAGTAAATACGTGGATTGACCGCCGCCTGAACTTGAACCCTCTAACAGGAAAAGTTTGGAATAACATATGAACAATCCTACAAGAAAAGCTGTACGAGTATGTGTGTGTATATATATATATAGAAGATAACAAGTTTATTATATATACAACCCTACGTTTATGAATCATCGAGCAAGCTAGCTAGCCCTACTTGCATCTCTTTATAATTAAATTAAGTTCATTAATTTAATTTGGTGTCTTCTTACCTGGTCATCTCAATCAATGGCAAATAATGGAGGAATGAGATCAGGAGGGATTGCAGACCGGACACGTTCGCGTAGCCACGTTGTTGAAGAGTGTGTGCCTTCTTCGGCTTGGACGGAGGACTCCGATAGCCATTATCTTCTTGTTGATCTTCCTGGTATCTCTACGCTAACATTTATAATAATGAAAATTATTCATTCATTTTATGATGATCATGTTATTAGCTAATTATAGCTATCAGTTAATTTAATCTCTGCTTCTTTTTTTGAAACTAAGACTTAATTTCTGCTTTCCTGTTGCATGGCTTGATTACAATAATACTTCAGAATCACCCATAACTCCAAGAAAATATTAAATATGTCATTTGAATTACTTCTGAATGTAAATATTTCACTTTTATGCTGATTGTAAACATTTAGTGGTTGCAACACAATACGGGATATCCTTTGATGATTGAAGACCCATGTTAATTAGGTTAAATACATATACATTAGTACAGATTTAAACTATGAACACTTGAAACATTTCTTAAAATCTCTATATAAGTTAGTGAGTCTCAGCTGTTCATAATTCTTTTCGCAATTTTTATTTATAGATTTTAAAAAGGAAGAAGTGAAGCTTCGAGTTGATGACTATGGGCAGATAGTGGTGAGTGGAGAGAGGCTTGTGAACAACAACAGCAAAGTAATATATTTCGAGCAAACATTTAAGCTTCCAGAGAATTCAGATGCTGATAAGATCACTGGAAAATTTGATGGTGAAATTCTGTTTGTAACTGTTCCAAAGCAAGAAGAAACATCCGTAGAGCCTGAATATCAAAACACCGCTACCGCTACCGCTATCAGTGATGAAAATCGCAAAAGGTTAGAAGAGAAGGGAAGCATGGATAGTTACAGACTTCTTTCAAGGAAATATTGGCGACAGGAGGATGAGGCTACACCATTAGAGAAGGCCTTCGAGATGATAAAGAAAAACAAGGGGATTTTGCTTACTGCCGTTATAGCATTTTCTCTTGGGATAATAGTGACTCACCATAAATTGGAATCTTGAGGAGAATAAGTGCATTACATATTTTTTTTCTTTTTTTATTTGCGTCTGCCTGGTTGTTGTTGATATATTTGTCAACAATAATCTGTATATATAATATATATACACCGCCAATCTTCCATTAATAAGTGCATGTTCTTTCCCCTGCAATAAACATTGCTTTAAGAATCTAGTTCTTGTAGCTAGTTCATTATTTTTTGTTTTTTTTCCTCCTAATAGAAACTCATATAAACCCTTTGTAGCTGCAAATATTGGGCTAACTAAGGATATAAAAAATATTATGAAAAACCTCTAGTAATTTTTTATGAATATTGTTATAGAAGAGAGACCAGAAAAGAAAATAAGATTTAATGTAGTTTACAAAGTGTTTTCATGCATAAAAGTAAGGAGTTTTTATTTTTAAGAAGTTTTTATATTTTAACCATGTTGAAATAGAATTACATAGTATGTATTTATAATAAACCCTAAATTACACAAAACAAAACCTAGTTTTCCATTGAATTGTTTCACCTCACTATGCGGCCAAAATTACAACAATCTCCACCTAGGTAAATATCCTCTCCTTTAAAGAAAAGTATGGAAAAGTCCACTTAAGATAATAGGTTGCTACATCTTTTATCTTGCATCTAGAGATATTAATTAAGTTCATGCAATGCTTGAACTTGTCTATGATAATAAGTTTTGTCAACATGTATGCTACATTTTTAGAAGTATTAGTTTGTCAAAGCAACAGTTCACTAGAAGAAACCAATTCCATGATCCTATGGAACCTCACATCTATATACTTGATTCTTTGTCAAGAACATGACACTCTCACTATCACAATACAATTGAACTTCACCTTACTAAATACCCAACTCTTTGATCAAACCAATAAGCCACAAATAGGCTCCTTTACCAAAGTAAATCCATATATTCTAACTTAGTAGTAAATAATGCAACTAGAGACTAAACAATAGACTTCCAACAAATAGACCCTTTTTTAAAGTAAATACATAATTTGTGGTAGATTTCCTATCATCCAAGTCCCCTGTATAGTCTACATCTATATACCCCGTGATTAAAGGATTACCTTGCTGTCTGCTAAACATGATACCATAGTTTGTATTGCCCTTAAGTATTTAAAGATCCATTTGATTGCATCCTAATGTTATTGTTCTAAATTTGATAGAAACTTGCTCGCCACACTAATTATGTGTGCTAAATCTAGTTTTTTTATAAACCATAACATACATTAAACACCCTATTATGCATAAGGGACCTTTGACATAACTTTCACTTTATTATATGTTTTTTCACTTTATTATATGTTTTTAGGCATTGTGCAATAGATAATATAAAATGAGTCACTAAAGGTATATTCACTAGTTTTGTATTATCAAACACTTTCTCAATGTAACTATATTAAGATAACCATGATTGTCTGATAGTTCTATCTCTATGAATCTCCATCCTAGGAATCTTTTTAAAAAATCTTTATGTCAAATTCTTTACTTAACAAAGTCTTCAACTTATTAACCTCATTAATACTCTTTGTAGCAATCAGTATATCATCCTAATAATATAAGAGTCAAATCACTTATATCACTGTCTTAGAGACTATTTTAGTCCATAAAGTGATTTCCTCAATTTATAAATAAAGTGTTCTTGTCCAGGTTGACTAAACCCTTTCGATGATACAATGTAAATTCACTCCTTCAAATCACCATAGAGAAAAGATATCTTGACATATATTTGCTCTAAATGCATATCAAAATATGCTACCAAGCTCAACACTACCCCGGTGAAAGTATTTCTGACTATAGGGTGCTTGTTGTAAATTGTTTGTGGGTTTTATAAGTCAGTGGTATAAATGTCCCTTTTTGTACTTGATTTGGACAATGATTTTTGTGAATCAATTTGACTTAAGTTATGTTGTTATGCTTAACAATCATAATGAAATTTTAGTTTTAGTGTATTGTCCTGAATTGGTGTTTATACACATCGATTGGTAAGAGCAAATGAAGTAACACCTACTGTCTTAGATATTTCAAGATTAAAATCAAAACAAGATGTAATTGGGCTATGATAATACAATATATGATCAAGAATAAGTCAAATACAAGATGGAAATGTTATGTAGGTTTTGGTTATAATATAATTTGAATAGAAACAATTTTGGAAATGACTAAACTTTGTGAAAGATAGATATTTTAGAATATATATTTCGGTTAGGTTTAAGGCTAATCTAAAAACTAAAATGAACAATGATCAGGAATTCTAGCAACATGACCACATCAATACATCACTTTGAATATATAACAAGCACATAAAAAAATAATGGTACATGAAAACTTATCCATCACATACATAATTATAATTTTTTCACATTAGAAATTGACTTGAAGCTTATCCGCTCAATAAACAACATGTTTGAGTATCTGAATTAAAAAGAAATTCATGATATTTATGATATAACACATTTTTTTTATTATGTTCAAAATTAACATGAAATTCCATCCTAGGTTATAAAACTAGTTACATTTACTAAAGCGAGATAGACTTAGGTATTAGCACAAGATGACAACAATTTGGAAATTGATATAATTTAAGGGGATACATCTCATTTATCAACAAAAGAACAAAACTCTTAGTTTAAGAATAACATGAGGTTTTGAACAAGGGTGGAGCTATGAATTTTTCTTGCCCTAAGCTACTAAACAAATATATAATTTTTCTTAAGATAAATTATTAACTCATGTACATGAATTTATGAAGTTAACAGTAAAATTTTAATTCAAATACATTTTCTAAAATATTAAAAAATAAATTTAAAAGTACATAAAATTGAAGTGAAAGTAAAAATAAACCCACTATTGAAGTTACATCCTTTGATATTTCACGGAATAGAATTCATCTATAATCGAATTTGAATCAATATTATAATAACCTCTCAAACATGATAAAATAAAAATCTCATATCCATTGAAAAATAAAATAATTAAATTTTTTTCCTCTCTCAATTACTCTTTCCTTCAATTTATTCTTTCTTATATTAGTATTTTATAAGTTAGACTTTGTAAGTTTACAAGATTATTCTCACTTTTTTTTTCTTTGCATTTTTTAATGTTTTTTCTTTATTTTTCTCTCTTTCTCTCTCGCTTTTTGTTTTCTTTCCTTTTCTATTCTGCTTCTACCCAATTGACAACATATAAAAGGAAATAAGAGCTAATTTATTTTATTTTTAATGGAAAATAATCATTTTACCTTTAATGAGTCTTTTTTGCTTCTATTTGATGGTCCTTTTTTTTTTTGTTAGCACTATCAAGCTCCATTTATCCTAAAATTTTAACCAAATTTTATTGAATATATTTTAAGATTCCTCATAAAATTTTAGTTCAATCTAATAGTTGGATTGAAAATTACGTCTAATAACATCAAACTAGTCAAATTGTGATTTTTTATCAAATTTTATGAATTTCTCTAAAAATTCTTAAATTTTAACCCAAGCTAAAGCATGATATTAGAAGTCTCCTTGTAAAGTTTTAGAATTTTCTGATAAGTCGATCAAGAATTATAAATTTGTTTTACATAAAACTAGTAAAGGGTTTACATATATCTATAGCAAGCTTTTATTTATTGTAAATCATCATAAAATATACTAAGAGATCCCCTTTCATTTTATTATGAGACATATTTTTAAAATGCTCTATAACTGAAAATAATTTGAAAATGATAAACATATTCTAAAAGCTCTCATGATGAATCACATCAATCTAATAATACTCTAGTTGAGAACTCAAATAATATATCTCTTATTCATTAAAATCTTTAGGATAAAAATTATCAACAAGCTTGCAAATAACATCAACTTTAAATTATTTAAAATTGTCCTTAGGTTCTAAAATAGAGTTAAGTATAAGAAGTTTTATTGTCTCATCATTGAGAATTCGACTCCTCTAATTGAAAATCTATTGCCAAGTTAAATATATTATAATGATAGTGTAAGTAAACTGTCATCAATTCTTGTTGTTAACATGAATGACTTGTAACATTTTATATGATGCATCTTTATGTGGTACGTCAATCTCATATTGTGTGCAAATAAATTATACATGTACAAGGAGAAGATCAAATCCAATATCTTTTAAAATTTAAAACAGTGCTTTAGTAGTTGAGATAAAAATGCATTGAATGTGTAATGGATAATACCATATAATAAAAAAAAATAAAAAAAAGAGGTAATCTAGCACAAGAGGGGTACGATTTTTTCGACTTTGACTCTCTTAACTAAAAAAAAATATAGATTTTAATTAAAAAATGACTTATTTAATGGATAAAATATATTTTTATTTAACTAATTTAGTTAAGTATAAACTTATTTAATATTAATACAAAAAAAATATTAATAAAATCTTAATAAAGGTTATAACCCACTCAAGCCTTTAATAGGGCTCCGCCTTTGATTTTGACAATTTTAGTGGTGCTTTATGGTCGGGGTGGGCAAATTGATTTATGGTATGAAGATATTCTTGAAGTTACAGGCATTTTATTTTATCAAACATGCAATTGTCATGAAGAGAGGAGTCTCTCTCGAGGACCTAGGCCTTTGAAAGTACTTGGCTACTATCGATGCAATTTTGGGTTCATTTTGGATTCCTGGTGTAAAGCCTATAAAGGAAATCTCCACAGATTCAACAAATAATCCCTTGCCTCCTGCACAGGATTATGCAACCATCATTCAAGCCTAATATCAAGCTAGTAACGGCAGATAAATCTTCAATGTAAATACAGTGTAAATGTTAGACGCAATCTTAGCTTTGTTTCTAAATTCAAGTCTCCAGTCCTGTGTATATATATGTTAACAGTTGTATGATTCAAATAACAAAAATATTTACTATTCTAAAGTTTATCAATTAGCTCAATTTCCTAAAAACTTCTTATCTTCATCATGGTATCAGAGCAAGAAATCTCCAACGAGAATTCGATCCCTCACAATCATAATCCAATCTCAACTCCACCCTCTCCAACTGAAACACCCCTGATTGCTCTCAACATCACATCCCAGATAAATGATATACTTACCCCCTCTACATTTCTTCAATGACGCGCTCAATTTGAAGCCTTACTCATCGGGAATGATCTTCTTGACTATGTCACTAGAGAAAAAACCTGTCCCATACCCACTAGCAC